ATGATGGAGAACCTGTAGGCATGGACTTTTGATGGTCTGTCTTTCATTCAGTATAGGACTATCTTCAAAAGGCTGAGGTCCTGAGATTCCATCCCTTTCCCCCTAGTAAGCAGGGGCATAGGACAGGTGAGAGTTTGATATGGGTCCTTGAGAAACTCTACATCCTAACACAGGGTTGCTAAACAAAATAAATGAAGACAGTCTGTTTTGAAAGGATATTTTATGTATTAAAAAAACAAACAATTCTCAAGTTCTTGTGGAAGATTTAATTTGAAAAGATGCCTGAAGTCAGGGAGCCAAATTAAGCCACGGTATAATTGAATGCAACTCCATTGACTTCCTTGATATCACAGTACATCTGTTTACACCCATGATTAATGGGGCCCAGAGGGAAGTTTAAATGGCGAGGACTGTAAAGTTGCAGTTTATTGTATATGAAAGGATATGTTATGCTTACAGTTTGTAAAAGCACTTTGTTCCCTATAGTAAAAAATGTTTACAGCAGCAATAAGTCCAATAAAGCACATAGCACACATTTGGTGCTATATAAAAAATACGTCATGCTTCAGGGCATTTGATTTTCAGCAGATAGTTCCAGATAGTACTTTGAAGATTAGACGGATAGAAGATAAGAACCTGTAACAGTCTGGCAGGGTGTGCCTGAAATACCAGACTCTGTTAGCAGGTGTTGATGCTGCTGGGAAAGAGTTGCATGGGTTCTGCTAACTCACTGAGCAAGTGGCTTTTATGAGGGAGGATGGTATGGCTCTCTGGAGGGGGAAAATAGATTTAGGCTGAGCAATCTTGAATTAAGAACACGAGGAGAGACCAAGCCTAGAGACAGAGTTTGGGATTAACCTTGCTGTTTTCCTGTTAATTTCTTTAATAATGCCAAACCCCAGCAAAGGGATGATTTTTTGACTCTACAGTGTGTGTGTGTCTCCTTTGTTTTCGAGGAACTTGGAAAAGACACTTCCTCACAAAAACATATTAAATGACTAGCAAATATTGTCTAAGAAGGGTGTTTATAAACAGCAGTAGACAGCACTTTTGAAACAACCGGCATTCGTACTGTACAACTATTGCCTGAGCTACACTTTCTCTGTCAAAGTTAGATGTGAAAAGAGCCTTATAGTGGCTCTTAGCTACAGCCTGGCACTGAGGGTACCATGGAGCTATACCAGCACACTGGTAGCACCTCAGGAAGGCAAAATGCAGCCTGAAGTTCCCAGGAGCACAGGAGTGCATGCCTGCAACTACATCCTTCAGACACTATGGTCCAGTGACTAGGGCATGAGACTGAAAGGAAAGAAAAGAAAAATATGTTATGATTTCTCACTCTGCTACTGTCTTCTTTGTGGTCATGACCAAATCACTTAAGCTCTTTGTATTTCATTTTTTCCTATCTGTAAAATGAAGATGATACTTACACACTGTACAAAAGCACTGAGGCCTATGGAAAAGTGTATGGATGATAAGTGTGGAGTACAACAACGATGATCATAATTATTCAGGGAGTACATCATGTATGGAAGGATGGAACCTAGGCTCTGTCATGTATGGCAGGAAGAATGGAACAGGGGCTGGACCATAATAAGTAATTAGCTTATACCCTGAAGTATAATACAAGCTTTGATTGACCTTATCATTATCGTACTATGTTATTTATAATAATAAAATGTACTCAGCCCCACTTGGAGCACAGAAAAAAAATAGAAGCATTAAAAGTTTGTGAAACAGCTTTACCACTTTACTTCTTGGTTCTGCTTACGTTGTGCATAGAATTCACAACATGACTCTTACAACATAAAAGGTATTCCTTATAGAATGTTTTATTTACAGTAGTAATTATGTACACACAGCTGTTATCTCAAGAAGAAAATTGGTTTACAATTTATAAAAACAAACAGTCCTATTTTCCACTCTCACTGAAACACCTGGGCATTTAATACCCTGCTTTGGTTTGTTAATAAGTTCAAGTTTTGTTAGAGTTTCATTTCAAATATCCAGTGCAGTCCACATTAGAAGTGATTCAAAATAATGAAGGCTGTATCCAAGTTAAAAAAAAAAGAAAAAGTTGGTGAATTTTGGTCCTTGCTGTATTTCACAGCCCAACTGAGGGCCAGGAAGAGCTCAAATATTTCATTAATTAAAACTTTGCTTTGTATTGTTTCAACTGATCACAGTTTCTCTGATGGCTGAAAGCAAGTGTAGGGATTCATCTTCCTTTTCTAAGAAGGATTTTTTGTGGCTGGAGCACAGGCATTTACTTTTTCTCTCACACACGTCCTTAATGACGTTGGACAAGTTATGTAACCTCTCTGGGCTTCATTTTCACCACCTATAAAATACCTACCTCACTAGTGTTGTGAGGTTTTAATTCATTAATGTTTGTGAAGTGTTTCGTTATCTTTGGATGGCAGTTACTGTATGAGTATGTTTGGTTACATTAACAAGAAGTACAACACTAAGACTATGTCTACACTACCACGGTAAGTTGACCTATGCTTCGCAACTCCAGCTATGTACCTTAGGTCAAGTTACTGTGGAGTCTACACCGCGGGGAGTTGACGGGAGAAACTCTCCCATCGATTTACCTTACTTTTCTTGTCGGGGGTAGAGTACAGGGGTCAACTGGAGAGTGATCTGCTGTCGATTTGGTGGGTCTTCACTAGACCCGCTAAATCAGGGATCTCAAACTCAAATCACCACGAGGGCCACACGAGGACTAGTACATTGGCCCAAGGGCCACATCACTAAAGCCTTTGCATACAACGATACAAAAGTATAGTCAAAAATGAAAAAAATGAAGAGTAATATAGTATGCTATTAAAAGTCAATGTATTATTTTTTTTAAAACTGTAATGCAAAGAGGGGTTTTAATAAAATATAAACACCTGTAACTATTTCTTATAAGGTCAGTAACATTGATGATGATCTATACTAACAGTCTATCAACACAGCTGTAATGGCAGGAACTTTTTAAAGTAACTATTCATACAAAATACGTTGCCACTTTTAACAAACATTCTTCCCAACTACTCACAGCAAAGAATCATACATGCTGAACTTCATACCTCAGACTGCTCATCTCTTCCATGAGGCCCCACCCCTTTCCTGCCCCCATTCCAACCCCTTCCCCAAAGTCCCCGCCCCAATTCCGCCTGCTCCCTGCCCCTATTCCAACCCCTTCCCCAAATCCCCGCCCTGGCCCCACCTCTTCTCCGCCTCCTCCCTGAGTGTGCCACATCCCCGCTCCACCCCACTCCCTTCTGGAAAGTCCTAAGTGTGCCAAACAGCTGTGTATGTGTGGGGGCTGGGGGTCAGGGCGGGGGGGCTGGGTGTGTGTGAGGGGGGTGCAGGAATCAGGGCAGGGGGCTGGGGTGTGTGTGTGGGATGCAGGGGTCATGGCAGGGGGCTGGGGGTGTGGGCTGGGGTCATGGGGGTGCTCCCAGCCCCCTGCCCAGAGAGGCTCATGGCAGGGGGCTGGAGGGGATATGCCCTGATTCCACCCCTCTTCCCCAAGGCCCCGTCCCCACCTCTTCTCCGCTTCCTCCGCGGAGCAGCGAGCATGCTGCGGCTCCGCTTCTCCCCCTCCCTTGCAAGGGCCATCAGCTGATCGGCAGCAGGGAGGGAGAGGAGGAGGGACAGGAATGCAGCACGGGGGGGGGGGGAGCGAGAGGTGGGGGAGGGGGAGCTTGCCTGCTCTGCAGCAGCAGCCAGTGGCGGGAGGGCGCGGAGAAGAGCAGACGGGGCGGGCAGGATTTTTAATGGCACGCTGCTGCCTGTGGGGGTCCCAGCGTGGGTTCGGCAGCAGGCTGAGCAGGGCTGGTGGCTGGGACTCGGCAGGCAGCAGCGTGCCATTAAAAATCGGCTCGCGTGCCGTCTTTGGCACACGTGCCATAGGTTCCTGACCCCTGATTTAGATAATGGCAACAAGGGGTACACTTACAAAATTTGCAGACGATACCAAGCTCTGAGGCATTGCAAGTGCTTTGGAGGATAGGATTAATATTAAAAATGATCTGGACAAACCGGAGAAGTGGTCTGAAGTAAATAGGATGAAATTCAATAATGACAAATGCAAAGTACTCTACTTAGGCAGGAACAATCAGTTGCACACATACAAAATGGAAAATGACTGCCTAGAAAGGACAGAACAAGAAGCAGTGGGCTTAAATTGCAGCAAGGGCAGTTTAGGCTGGGCATTAGGAATAAATTGCCCAGGGAGGTTGTGGAATCTCAGTCATTGGCAGTTTTTAAGAGCAATTTAGACAAACACGTGTGAGGGATGATCTAGATAATACTTAGTCCTGCCTTGAGTACAGGGAACTGGACAAGAAGACCTCTCAATGTCCCTTTCAGTCCTACAATTCTATATTTTATTAATTGTGAATATGCCTTACCTTCCTCTTCCAGCAGCTGAAGAGATATTTGGGAATGAAAATTTCTCACTCCTCCACATTCAATATATTTCTCTTTAAAGAAAAATCTAAAGAGTTAATTTCTACTTTTTAAAAATGTACATTGTTTTGATTTATGTAGGATGAATACTACAGCAAGATTGATTAGGTTAGGGAAGAAGCAGAAGTTCCACTGCTTGAGAAATTGAAAACTATGTTGGATAATGCATCAGTAAATATACTGTAAGAACCAATCCTAAACAGGTAGGAAGATGCAACGGATGACCAAATACATCTTTTCCGTTCTGCAATTCTTTAAAAATATTGAAAATGCAAAATTGTGTGAAAATATTGAAAGAAAACATTCAATTACTATAAAAAATTGCTCACTTGTACCTTCAATGGATATGGAAGGTTAGCAGCATATTCAGATTGAGGCTTTCTTTAGAAATTTTTGGTAAAGGAAAAGGTTTGTGTAGAATTAATTTTTGCCATTTTATAGATAGCCAGTATGTGATACACAAAGAAAAACATTACATTTTTCTCATGCTTTTAATCATGTGCGTTTTTTGTTTGTTTGTTTGTTTTTCAAAGCAGATGCAGAACACCAGGAGCGATGCCAGAAAAATTAGCTTGATTCCTTCAGATTTTTATATGACAAGTTTGTAAGATTTTCTACATTGCTTTCTCACTCTTTAAGGTGAAGAAGATTCTGCTATCAAGAAAACGTGCCTGTTATGCAAAATAAGGTATTTGATCTTAAATATTGTTTCTTTATGGGATTTTGGAGTAAGTTGTTGTGTAGTATGCTTTTACAGAGACAGGGTTCCTTTTTATGTCACTGTTCACAGACATGAATAAGACATTGGAATGTAAAATGTTTGGTCCATGTTCCATAAAACTTGCCTTCCTATGCATCTGTGGGCCAGATCTCCGGCTAGCATAAATCAACATAGCTCTATTATACTAGCTGAGGATCTGTCCCTTTGTTCCAGGATATTCACAATATCTTCATCACTGTAAAATGTAAATCTTACTTATAGTTCTGTTTAACACACAACAATTTTTAACTAAGGTTTGTAAATTTGAGTTGTATTTTTAAATGCCTAAATAAAACCAATGATGTGGGTTAGAATTCACAACTTAATTAATGCATCAAAAGTCCTTTAACCAATTACTTATACACTTATTCTTTTTATTTCATTTTTGATTCTGGTACAGGGCACAGATAAAACTGAAATCTCAAATACACACCAAAACAGTTTCACAAACATCTTCCAGTGCACTAACACTAGTGATACTCTCATCTGCTGTGCCTGATAAATAAGGTGCAACTAGCATTTCCCTTCCCGGTGAGCAGCTAATGTTAGTGCACATCAGTACAAGAACAACTGAACAGGAATTTTAAAAAATGCTGCATTGTATTCAACTTTTTCAGATAAAGTTTTTGATTTTCAATTACAGATGTAAGTCAAGTCCATTCTGCAAGTATAAAGTTAACTCAGCACATTTATATTAAATGTATTTGATGATAACCAGGAAAGAACTAAGTAGAACATGTGCTTATGATGTCAAGAAATGATTACCTTTCCATATAGAATATGGAAGTTTCCCATCCAAGTCTGACATACCTTGACAGGGGGTGGATCACTTGGTGATTACCGGTTCTGTTCATTCCCTCTGGGGCACCTGGCATTGGCCACTGTCAGAAGACAGGATACTGGGCTAGATGGACCTTTGGTCTGACCCAGTAGAGCCATTCTTATGTACCTTGTCAAGCCTAAAAAATGTTGTTGCTTTTGTTGTATAAACAATCAAGGTGGTAATGAAATCTACTTGGTTATAAGAGACAGGTTTATTAACTCTGCCTGTTACAGTACTTCATTTGTGGTGGATATTTAGGATTGTGTAGTGACTTTCCTAACTGCACTATTTCCAGGGTTTTATATCTTTGAAAACAGAATTCTTGTAGGCTGAACTTCAATTATAGGTTCTTAGCTCAGAATCAATATTTTGGGGTAAAATTTGAGCAAAGTTGATGCTTTTGAAATCTTTCATTTTGGGGGGATCAGACAATGCTAGAGAATATAAGAATCTGCAATACAGAACTTACATCTCTGAGAGCTCCGGCTCACAAGGGTAATTTTGAGCTATGTCTAGGTTACATAATGGTGTTTTGTAAAAAGGAAAATAGTTGTTCAGAAGCAGAAAATTATTCAGAATATGGGTGTTATACTCTAGTCTGTAATATTTGTTGCCTTATTAGGTAATGTAATGCAAATCTATGACACCAAAAACAAAGGTAGATTGTGATACAAGAATAATGTTATGATCTAGGTGAAACCTTGTTATGGATTGAGTTGAAACCCGATTGAAACTGACGGATATGAGAACACCTGCCAATTAACAAAACTGTAAGGATAAATTAATCACAAACCTCCACCTAAGATAAAAGTGCTGTGACCCCACTAGGAGTTTTAAACTGTGTGGGTAGGGGGCTTGAACTGAGTATTGTTGGGAGGAGGGGGAGAGAGAACGTAAAAGACAGAACTAGAAAGTGACAGAAAACCTGAAGAAATCAAAACAAAAGGCTGTAACCAGGGTGTGGCCCTGGAAGAAGGCAGAGAGAGCTTTTGGGTCTGGGCTGACTAAAGAGGCATGAGGGGAGTTGTGGGGTGGTAAGCTAAGAAACTACTGTGTTGGCCTTTGGTTCCTCCCATGTTCACAGAAGTAGGATTTGTACATGCCTAGTAAATAAACAAAAATGCATCAAACAAAATACCAGTCTCCACCATCAATTTCTACTCCCATTCATAGCCCTGAACACTGACTAGCTACTCAAGTCAAAAGGGGGCAACAATAATTTTCTTAAATCATTAGAAATTAGAAATTTTATTGTGAGGGTTCTTCTTGTTTGAAGTCGTCTCCCATATACTACTATGACCTAAGTTAGGCGATCTCAGCCTTGCCTGAGCCCATTCCAGTCCTGTCCCAGTCTTGCTTTAGCCTAGACCCTGTCTGGCACAAAGCCTCACTCCAGCATTGCACCCCCCTTCTTACCCCGACTCTTGTTCTGATTTCCACCCTGCAGTCAAGGGTCAACTCTTTGCACTAAATTTCCAGTCTACCTATCTTGCATATTCTTGTATGGCTGCATTCTTATGGTAGCTCAGCATCTCATAAATATGAATGAATGTGTCACAACACTCATACGTTTTACAGATGGGCAACTGAGAGATGAAGTTGTCATTGCTGCAGGGCTAGCTGCAACTTTCCCCCTTTCTTGGTCTGCCTCGGAGCGTTCTCTCAGGTCTAGTGCCTTTAGCTCTCCTGGGGTGGAATTCCACAAGTCTCCCACTTTTAGACCATGCCCTGGGCTATGGTACCTGGTGTATTCACTGTGTTTACCCAGCATATCCAACTGGGCTTGGCACCTGCAATTCTTCCCGTCGGCCGTCTGCAACCAGCGGTGTCTTGTAGTGACCAGACAGCCTTCTTAGAACCAGAGTATTGTTTACTCTAACAGTAGGAACAAAGTATTGAGGGGAAAGGATTTTAAAACAACAAAGTCTACAGGCACGTCATGTCTATCTTACCTGAACCCTTGCCATCACCTGCGTACCCCCAGGGGTCCCTGTGCCCTTGGTGAGAGCCACTGACCTACAGGCAGATCACATCCTAATGGGAAGGTTCCCACCCCCGATCAGTTTTGCTTTGCTTGGCGCAGGGGTCCGGGGGAAGAGCAGTGATGGGGAGAGCTACTCCGCATGGAGCAGCCCGGCGCGGGGGGAGGGGGCAACAGCGCTAGCATCCGAGGGGTCCCGCTAGCCGGTGCGGCGGGGCAGTTGAGACACGTCCCGGCCGCGGGGCCCGCTCCGCAGCCCTCGCCCGCCCTTCGGGGGCCACCGCCGGCTGCCTCGCGCACCCACCGGCCCCGCCAGCCCGTCTCCGCCACCCCCTCGCCCGCGAATGGTTTGCTCCGCCAGCCCAGTTGTCCCCGCCTGCTGCTGCTGCCTCCAGCGTCCAGCCTGGGCGGGCTCCGGGGCAGGTGCTGCTGGCCGGGGAGGGACCCCAGACGCCGGCACGAGCGCAGGCGGGCTGGCGCAGCGCAGCGACCCTGCAGAGCGCAGAGCCCCGGAGTGTGTGTGTGGGGGGGGCCCTCAGCCTCAAGGTACAGGTAAGAAACCAGTGAATCGCGGGCCCTCCCCACTGCCCTTCACCCCCTCCCGGGCGCAGCGCGGGGCGGCTGTAGCAGCCGGGTGGGGTGGTTCTACCCAGAGACCCCTGAACCGTCCCCTCCTCCCAGCTCTCCTGTGGTTGCAAAGGTGCAGGGGTGCGAAGCCTCTGCTGCGGGGAGATGGGCGTCCAAGGGAGACGCCAGATGCGGAACAGCTGCTGATCGTGATTCAGCATCATTCCCTGCCAGCCACGGGGAGGAGGAGGTGGAGGTCGTTCCAGGAGAGGACGGACATCAGAAGGGGCCCTTTCAGTTACCCAGGAGAGAAAGGACACAAAGTCAAAGGTGCTTATTCACCCTCTCTCCTTTCATGCTTATATGTGATGCGCAGGTAGGGTCTTCTCCCCACAGAGGTGTAATATTAGCCTTTGCGGCTGCTGGGGGGCGGAGGAGAAGGGAGAGGGAGACTCTGCCTATTCAGTTTTTTTTCTCTCTCTCTCCTGCTATTTGGCTGTGTTAAGAGTTGGAGTACAACTTATGTAAAAAATGCTCCAAAGAAGGCCCCCGTCCAGTAATCCTTTTTCTCACAAATAATGACTTACATGATAATATGATTGATCTCACTGGCACAGGTGGTGGTTTCAGGATTGAGCCTCAAATGGGATGCAGCAAATGCTTCTGGTCAGTTTAGACTGTTATGAAGAGCTTCATAAATGCAGCTGATTTAATAATTTATGTTAGAACATCTAAGGATTGTCATTTCACCTGAAGAATGATGAGCAAGCACATCTTTTTGTCTGTGAGCATATTGTATTTTTAACAAATCAGCTGGTTTTCAGAATAAAATTTACTCGTTACTGATGTGTGTGTGGATGGAAGTCCATTTAAAAATAGCGTATGTAAGTTATATTAGAGTGCCCAACTAGGTCTCTGCAGAGAAGGGTGAGGCTACGGTGGGGTCATTTCTTAGCAGTAGTATTTAGTGAATGCTCAAATTCAGAACAAATGAAATCCACGGACATGAAAGAGAACTTCTTTATCAGCTTCCTGCTGGTAGACCAACATCTGTCGTCTGTAAAGCTTCTTTTTGTAATTCATATGGTCTTAAACTGCACATCAGTTTAAGCAATATACCTGATAACCTAAATATATATTTGAACTTTGTCATCAAACATTTGTATTATTAGATTCCACCAAACAAATGTGAGACTTTTGTGTGTGTATCTTTGATATGTATTTGCAAAGTAAAAACCTAATTTAGGCACTGTTGCTCCTTATAATAAAACCAGTGCTTGATACTGTATTTCTTAGCAGCACTTCATTGGAAGGGCTATCTTCACAGTCAGGAGATCAAAAATTCCTTCTCAAGGGAAGGGGGGAAAAGCATGGATTCTAGAGAATATATCAAAATGTGCAGAATGACTGTACAAGATGCTTTGTGCCTTGTCTAATTTCCAGGGTAAAGGTTTCCTACAGGAATAGAATAGGCTCAAAATAGCACTTCATAGGACAAACACAGAAGGCTGTTTTCTACCAGGGTCTCTGCCACATTGCAAAAAAGGGTATTGTCAG